TTAAAATATAACATGAAAATATAATGAAACTAACAATCTCAGTGTAAATTTTGTAGCCTGGATCCTAATTATTTTCTTTCCTGTGTGGGCCCAAATGGATTAACTGAGCAATTTGCTTTGTGCCTGCAAATTCCCAGCTCACTGCCTAAGCTCCAGATGACTATTCTCAGCCAAACTGCATTTTAGGGCACTGTAACCTTTCCACTTGGTAAAGAATAGAACAAGATGAGAAAGTATTTAAAGGTCAATATTATATATAAAAAAAAAGGTGTTTATTTCTGTTGCTGTTTTACTCTTCCAGTGGAGGATGTGGAAATCCATCGCTGCAGGCAAGGTCACATCCTTTAGGTGTTCAAGTGCAAAGCAATTGGGCTCTCCAAAAGAACTGAAACACCACTGAGACACCTCAGCAACACTTCTGGGACCCAAACTTTAGATGGATAAAGAATCATATCATAGAATCATAGAATTTAAGGGTTGGAATGGAGCTTAGAGATCACCCAGCCCCAACTCCTGCCCTGGGCAGGGACACCTCCCACCAGAGCAGGTTGCTCAAGGCTCATCCAACCTGGCTGTGAACACTGCCAGGGTTGGGGCAGCCACAGCCTCCCTGGGCATAATGCCATGCAGGAAGGCTCAGGGCACATCTGTGGGACAGGTTTGTGTCTTTCATTTATGTCCTTCCATCAGGATGTAAGACTACATTCTGCTCCTTCTCACTTTGGTAGTCATAGGTACAAAGCTTCATTAGCACATTTGCTTGCAGGAGATGTAAATGTGCTCAGTCTAAATGTCAAGGTAGTTGCTGTCCTGGATGAAAAAGTCTGGCTCTTGATTTCCTCTTGCCTTGGAATCCTTTCTTGCCATCTAAGAAAAATCTGTTGGAGTTGGACTTGGCAGCTTGGCAATTTGTGCTTGACCTGTCATGTAACTGAGCACGATGGGAATAGCTTATGACAGATTTGTCAGATTTAGCAATGAGTTTATTGGTGTCTTGTTAGCACTGGGGGATGTGCTTCCATCGCAGCATTTCCTGGAAGAGCAAAAAAGGCTCATGCAAAATTCAGCACAATTAGGAAGTCTCAGTTTTGACACTTCTCAAAAGGCTTCAACCTGGAGGGTAGAAAAACCTAAGTTCTAAATTTGGCAGCTCTGCAGAAGGTTTGGTGTGTTCCCCATGGGGTGTCCTTCTTTTTGTCCTTCTGCTGCTGCCTATGCAATGAGGTTTTGCCCATGAACTGCTCTTTGCTCCTCCCAGTCACAGCAAGAAGAACTTTGCAGGGGTCTTGTTTGGGAGTGTGATTTTGGCTGTTGCTTCTCCACTGCTGGAAGGGATTGGGCAATAAATAGACTCCAAGAAGAAAGGGACTGAGGATAAAGGTCCAGAGGGATGCAGTGAGGGTGCTGGTGACCCCATGGTGCTCTAGAGGAGAGTGTCTCTTGCTGGGCTCTATAGCACTAAGAACTTTATACTTCCTGAGTCTTACCTGTAAGTTAATTGCTGTGATTTTAGTTTAGAGTTAACACAGTTTGATATGAAACTATCCCACAGCACCAGCAAAGCCAAAGGAGTGAAGTTGGCTGTACAACTCTGCTGAATTCCCTCTCTTTTCTCTCTCTCCCTCCACCCCCTACCATGTAAAAGAATCAGTGAAATGTTTTCTGATAATGAATATTTAAATATAACTTCCTGGTTCCCTCTCTGGCTGTTACCCCTTACTCTAACTGGAGTTGAAATAGTGAAGAATTCCTCCTCAGTCAAATTTGGAGCATTCCTCAGGGGTTGTGAGGGTGAAAAGAGCATGTTAGAAATATAAAGCAACTGTGGTATGCATTTACTAAAGCTGTATACAAGGTCACAGTACAATAACCATGGATGTGTTTATTAACTCTGGGGTGTGAAAGGTCTTTTTCCAATCAGTTTTTGGCAACCAAGCAACAGCAATCTGTGTTTACAAGGCAGACTCTTTAATAACTGAACCTGTGATTTTTGTTCTTTTTTAAGTGACCATTCTAACACATCCTCAACTTCCCATCACAAAAAAACTTAGCAGCTTTCACCATCCCTAGTTTTGTCCTCCACAGTGAAAGCTTTGCTGGAACTGGACTTGCTCCTTCAAATGAGTGAATCCTTTAGATTTCCATCTTCTCTCTGCTTCTGCTACATCAGGTTGGTCTTTCTCATGCCCTTCATGTAAATATATCTCAGCCTGGAGTGAGATTTAGTTCCACCTGCCTCTGGGCTAAAATCCTCTTGGGATGGTGTTGCACTGAGAAGACAGGAGAGAACTGGAGGACATGGCTGCTGCATCTTCCAGGGGTTTCAGGTTGAGTGTCTGAGGAAATTCATGTCAAGGCTTTGCTTCTTTAAGAGCACTCCCACTCTGTTGATGCTCTCTCACCTTTTCCCTGCCCTTTGCAACTTGATATAATTCTCTTCTCTCCTTGCCCAGTCAATAATGGATCTATCTCTTTTCAAGCCCCTAATTAAAACTCCAAACTGTGCTTTTCCAGGTCACAGAGCTCAATAATGTGAAGAACATATCAAGACTGCCAAAAAGCACAAAGAAACATGCTGTTGGGATTTATTTCAGTGATGACACCTCCAAAACCTTTGCTTGTGACTCAGGTGGGTAAAGTGGTGATGCACATTGGAAATCAGAAGAGCACTGATTGGGAAATTATAAATGTATTATATACCTACACACAGATTTTCTGGGCATTTATACAGAACTTGAGGCAGATGAGTGGTGCAAAGTGCTGCAGATGGAGTGTCTTGGAACACGAATCAATGACATTAGCCTTGGAGAACCTGACTTGTTGGCATCTGGAGTAGAGAGGGAGCAGAGTGGTAGGTACAGAAATGACCTTTGGCATTTTTGATTGCATTCTTTTCAAAGTCTTTTGGATTGCCCATATAGATATTAGACATAAATAGGAGTAAAATTGCTTTTCTAAGCTTTCCTTCCTGTTTTTGTGGGAAAAGGGTTGGGGTGATTTGTTGGGGGGTTATTTTTGGCTTCAGATGTAATAGAGTTATTTGGAGTAGCTCTAGACAAATTAGTTGCTCTAGGAGATGAGAACTCTCTTTTGTTGTCTGTTTTCACATATGGTGTGTGTGACTGAGCCTCTTTGGCAGCACTGGGAAGCAAACCATAAATCATAGTAATTGCATGTAAAACCTGAACCTTTGGCTACTTCCCTTTCCTATGCAAATTACCTAATTACCTGCACAAGCAACATCTTTATTCATGGCCACAATTGTATGAACTGTTTGCAAATACCACGGTTAGGCTGTGCAGTTCTCTCAATGCACTCACAAGTGTTTGCTGCCCTTTGAGTGCAGCATTCTGACTGCCCCAAACCTGGAGTTATTATTGCTAGAAGGAGCTGAGGCTTGATTTTTGTAATTACTTTTTTTGAGTTAATTGATCTAAGTGGAGATAAGCTGCTAGATTAAAGATGGAAAATAGGAAATTCCTTGCATGACTTGCACATTTCCTGGGCAGGGATTTTAGACTAACCTTTTGTTTTTCTCCCAGAGAGATTCAATGTGTATTTGATGCCATCCCCTAATTTAGATGTGCATGGGGAATGTACCTTGCAGATAACATTTGAGAATATCTGTCTTTGGGACATCCAGAATCCCAGAGTCAAACTGGTCTCTTGGCCGCTGAGTGCCCTGCGGCGCTACGGGCGCGACCCAGCCTGGTTCACCTTTGAAGCAGGGAGGTAGGTGTGTGTTTCTTACCTTGCCTTGCTCTCCTGCTGGGGCTGGGGCTTGCTCTGCACCTCTTCCAAGGGTTGGTATAGCATCACAGTATGTC